TGTGATCACCAGGCAATAATGACTTTTAGCTGTGTCTAAGTGTTCCTCGCCGAATAACTTTCTTCTGATGTAAAGGGCACGCTGGAAGAACTGAGGAGCTGTTGCAAATTTATCTAAAGAAATGTGTATAGCCCCGACTAACCAGTGATTGTCAGCCACTCTTGGGCTGAAATGTGTATAGCTCCTCTCCAAACAGAGTTCGCGTAATGTCAAGTGCACGTTTTGAAGACTGAAGAGCCAAGGCAAAATCGCCTGATTCCCATTATATAACGGCGGTTTTGTAATCATCCTTCAAAAAGCTTAGCGGCGAACAGGGGACCTTCTCCTGTTTCTTGTCCTGATCAGCAATGTGTGCATCCATTGAAGAGGTATCTTTACTTGGTTTCATGGGTGGCAGATTCTCGTCCGTTTAAATGACAAGCAAAAATAATAACGGCTGACTTCGTTTGTTGCTTCAGGGATATTAACATTTTTATAGAAAAGCTTAATTGAATTTCTGTAATGGATGGTCTAAATATGTGTCCTAAGCCTTCACGGTTCTATTTTTTTAGCATTTTAAAATTAGTATCAAATATGCTAAACAGACTCCTGAAAGAGACACGCAAATATTTAATAGGTTACTGGTAACAAATAGGATCCTTTCCCTCTTCTCAGTAAAAGCTCTAAGACTGTGGGGTAAAGGCTGTCGTTAAATGGCTTCTGCATGGCGATGAATCATGGTTTTGACGTTCTTACAGCCTGAAGAAGTATATTAATTCAACAACTTAATTTGTGAGCCACAGCTCCAATAAAAACTCACTTTATCGTGTCGCATTTGCATGGTCACGGATTACCAGTAGCTTTTGGCCGTGAGGTCAGTCATCACGAAACGATCTAGATAATAATTTGTAAAATAAGCATGGGACGGAATAGGGAAGATCAACTTATCGCGCGTAAATGAGGGGCGCTTTTCACGGGGAGAAGTAAAAATGGCGAAGTTAGAATCAACTTCAGCAAAGTTTTTTCGGACTATAAGATAATATTGCTAGACTTTGACTGCTGTTCGAAACCATTTATGTTTACTAGAAACGTTTTGTCCTCGTCACTTTATACAGCACTATCGATAGCATCATGTTTGTAAAAAGAAGAAACAAACAAGCTTAATTGAAAACAGTAACCTGAAATAAGCAGTTTTTAAGCCACCCTTTACCTCTCCCCTCCCCCTCTAAGGAGTCATGTCATTCTTTGGCAATTAGCAATAGTTCAGTTTCAACGTTCGAAATTCGTCAGTTTTAATCTGTTTCAATCTTCTATAATCCTCAGCTGTTTTTATTCCTTTCATCACACAATGATGAAAACAAACGGAGTTATTCTTGTAAAAGGGTTTTTTTTACTAAAGGATTGCAATATTGAATCTTGTTAACTTTATTCAACTCAGTTGTTTACATCACAAAATTTTATGATCCAATGTGGATATAAATTTAGTATATAATATAGAAGCAAACCCATAGCCTTTACTTCAAGGGTGAGGACATTGTGTGATTAAGTGTGGTAACATGTGGAACGTCATATAGTGTCTTCACTTTTAGTGTTATTATTTATTATGGAAGCTAGTATAACCTGAATAGTATTCCTAATGACAATAAGTTAGCTACTTCGCTGGACTTCTTTAAGCGCAAGCTTAAAGTTTTTTCTTCTGGCGACTGCATTATGTTTTTGGTGGGGACAATATTCGCTCGTACAAGATTATTTGCCCAAAATGCAGAAGAGTGAATATAAGAAACGTATGTTCTTGTTAAGATGCTTTTATTTAATCATATCTATATATATATGTTTTGTTTTTTAGGTTTGTGGGGTTGGGTAAGGTGGTTTAACCTTGTAGGGGATGCTATATCCTTTTGTTCTAACACCTGTCTACATTCTATATGTACAAATCTCGAAATAAATAAATAAATAGATAAACCGTTTTACTCCTATGAGTGATCAAGACAGAATTTCTCCTTACAATCTCAATACAATACCAAGCAAACAGGTGATGAGAATACAGAAAAATATCCAAAAAAGGGATTATTGTTTAATCCAATACCAAATTCTTCAGAGTGACATCATAAACATTCTGTAGCAGACAGTGAGGTGAATTCTCACTGGGAGCGAAAGGGTTCATAACAAGGACTGATGAACATAGCATATTTTTCCCATGGGAATTGTGAGAGAGCAGATACACAACACAGCCTGACAGATGAGGGCAGTCAGATATTCAACCGCAGCATGAATGGCTTTCTATCAATCGCAATCTATGACAACTAATTCCAAGGGTTTCTGTTCATGAGTCATCTGGTACATATTTATTTATTTATTCATTTATTTATGTATTTACTTTTTATTTTATTTTATTTTTTATTTGAACTATTAACTGCTTTGCTCTAGCTTTAGTGCCAACCTACCTTTTATACTTAAACATTACTTAGACTTGCTCAGCTCGATTAGCTTTTTAGTTATTCTGAGTAAATGTTACCTCTTGTGTATTACTAGATTACGTGGTGAATTAAGTTTAAATCTTATCCATGGTAATAAAGCTTGTTGTTGTTGTTGTTGTTGTTGTTGTTGGTAGTTGATGGCATTGTTCCGATACACAGTTGTCCCGAAAGAAAATTGCACACAGATCTCAGACACAAGCCTCTTTTAACCCTTTAACTCCCAGTGTGAGTGATCAAGACAGAATTTCTCCTTTAGGAGACAAGAGATGAGAATAAAGAAAAATATCAATTAGAGGATTATCAGTTGATCTAATATCAAAATCTCCAAACTAACATCATAAGAATTGTATGGAGGATAGTACGGAGAATTACTTGTAAAACAGTGAAACTGAAAGGGTTAAATTGAACTTTGTCGGATGAATTTCAGTTGTGTAGATTTTCCCTGATCTGCACAATAGGGAAGTTTCCTCGAATGTAAAAATTGCTCTTTAATTCAAATGCCAGAAGAATTTACCTCAAATCTGATCAAAAAAAGGAAAAAAGATATCCATAGGTCAGAGGTTGAATTTTGATTTGAGTTTCTTTACAGGTCAAATAATTAGTTCTTATCAACCGATCGGGAGGTCTGTATGGGAGAATCTTGACTGAGGTCGCCAGTACAGACGGAACGCAGTGAGGTCTGTACCAGCGACCGAGGTCAAGATTCTCCCATACAGACCGATTTAGCTCGGTTAATAAGATGTTTATCATATGTCTGTCTTATATGCCAATTTTTTATATTCTTTGTACCTTTTTTTCTAGACCGGACTAGATGCCGGTCTAGATTGGAAAATCTAGACCGCTTTCAATATCGATTTCAGCCAATCAAATTCATGAATTCGGTAGTTCCCAGTCCTTGTGAGAAACAGCCATATAATAATTGCCTGTAATAAACGCGGTTCAGGGTGTGTGTGAGTGGGGGGGGGGGGGGTATGGATTGTCCTGCAATTTACCATTGAACGAGTATTGGAAAACTTTTACTTCCTTTTTTGTTTGTATTCTTCGAGGAAAAACGGCTAGAAATCGGTTCCTAGCAAAACTTTTGGTCATCTTGAAATGTGAAAAAGTATATTCCATCAAAACACAAGAAAAAAACTCCTGCAAGTGGTTTTTTTTTATATTAAGCTCAGTTATCTTTCTGGCACAGATCGGTGCTTTTTTTTTTTAACTTTCACCACTGACACTGGCTTAAATCTTGCCTGCTAACACTAAAAATTTTCTCAAAATTTCAGTCACCCCTGTGTTATGCTTCCATGCTTCCCTTCTCACTATGAGTAGTACTAAACGTTCTCCAAGGGTGTACTGCAGCAAGTCTAAAGCAGGCAAACACGTATCCAGGATTGAAAAAAAAGAAACCCCGTTAGAGAATACCGCTTTGGGTCGTGGATAAGCCTAATTACATGAAGTCGCACTTGGCCTCCAGAGATACTCTACCAGTTTTTTCTCCCTCCCCTCCCACAAACCCCCAGATTAGTTTAACAGACGTCAATATGGTTAGAAACATTCAATTTATTCCACTTCATTTCTATATCAAATATTCATTTAATTTAGATTTATTCAGAGTTGAATGCAAAAAAAAAACAAACAAACAAACAAAAACAAAAACAAAACAAATCTTAAACTAAAGTTAATTTAGTTTACTTACTTTAAAAGTACACTGATCTTCAAGAAAGTAATCTAAACAAAACTGGAAAACCAGTGTTAGTATCAGTTTTTTTGAAATGTTCATGTTTAAACTTTTTCCATTTCTCTCACGAAATAAAAAATTAATATATTCCGAATTTTCTTAAACGTTATTTTGCTCTGATTAAAATGGCTAAAAAACACACTCTTTTGATGCTATCTTTGATGCAGAAGAATAAGCCAAGTAAAGTAACGGATGGCTTCCCTCTTCCTTAACTTTGAGTAAAAAAAAAAATTCCTGGGTAATACTTTTGCACTAAAAAAAAAATTAAAACGGTTGTTTAGACAAACAGGGGATTTTGCTTGCATTTGTGGTCTCTTACTAGCACTAGACCAAATACATCACCTCGCGCTCTGCTGAAAGAAAGCAAATCTTTTATATCTCTAAATGATGAGTTCAGTAAGTACATTGTGCCAATCCCCGTTCCGTTAATTGGAAGCCTTTGATAACACATTACCGCTAAATTATCCACGCAAAGGCTCGCTAAAACAATTTGTGGACATTGCACCACTAATTAGATCTGGGCCCCAGGAACAGTGTAATCATCAAACGAGTTTGAGATGCATCAAAGAATTTCAGTTTTCCCTAAGTGAACTATAGATTGTTACGAATTTCTTACTTCAAACACTGTGTATAGATATATTTTTAGTATACTTCGCCTGCGTACGAAGCGCTCAAGACAAAAAGAACGTGTCCATAACACGTACGAAAGACTAGAAAGAGTGCCGCACGTGTCTTCCTTAACGCACCACCCTCAAAAAGCTTGCATCCTATTTTTACTTTATATAACCAACGCCTGATACTTGGTTAAATAAGAAAGTTTATCGTTTGGTGTTCCTTTTTAACTTCTCTCTGATGTCACGGGCACGCTGTTCAGACAGAAAAGCTAAAATTGGCTCTCCTAATTTCCTCTGCGTTTTCGCGATTGAAGAGTAACTTTGAGCTGTATCTGAGTGCTCTTCGCCGAACAACTTGCGTCGGATGTCCAGGGCACGCTGTTTAGACTTTTGGGCCGATGCATAATCACCTAAAGAATGTTGTGTGGCCCCTAGAGAATGGTAACTTTGAGCTGTGTCTGAGTCTTCCTCGCCAAGCAATTTACGTTGAATTTCCAAAGCACACTGTTTAGACTTTTGAGCTGACACATAATCACCTAAGAAATGTTGTGTAATCCCCAGATGAAGGTAAATTTGAGCTGTGTCTAAGTGTTCCTCGCCAAACAACTTGCGTCGGATATCCAGGGCACACTGTTGAGACTTTTGAGCTGTTGCATAATCACCAACGGAATGTTGTGTGATCCCCAGATAAAAGTAACTTTTAGCTGTGTCTGAGTGTTGCTCGCCGAACAACTTAAGTCGGATATCCAGGGCACGCTGTTTAGACTTTTGAGCGGATGCATAGTCTCCAAACCACTGTTGTGTGTCCCCCAGAGAATGGTAACTTTGAGCTGTGTCTGAGTGTTCCTCGCCGAACAACTTGCGTTGGATATCAAGGGCACGCTGTTTAGACTTTTGAGCTGATACATAATCACCTAAGGAATGTTGTGTAATCCCCAGATGAAGGTAACTTTGAGCTGTGTCTGAGTTTTCCTTGCCAAACAATTTTTTTCTGATGTCAAGGGCTTGCTTCAAGGACTTCAGAGCTGATTTATAATCACCTAAGGAATGTTGTGTGATCCCGAGACGAAGGTAACTTTTAGCTGTGTCTGAGTGTTCCTCGCCAAACAATTTTTTTCTGATGTCAAGGGC